TGCATGCCGTGGTTTTCGCTCATGATGATTGTTATTTCCTCCCACGGCTGCTACAGTTATTATTGATGAGCGGAAAGACCTGAATAGCCTTGACTTTTGCTATTTGTAACCCCTAATGGTCACTAGTCATAGCTATATAAGCCTCCAACTCACCTTAGGTGCTTTCGTTTACCTTACGAGCGTTGTGCATCAACTTCATTTCGTCTATTCCCAGCATTTTAATCTCAGTCCTTCATCTTTGTCAACAGGTATTTCACACATTTTCGTTCTTTTGTTGCTTTTGTTTTTTGGTGTCTGCATTTGAACATTTGTTCGCCAGGATGCTTTTTCAATTTGAAGTTGTATATTTTATTTTGTTGATTTTCAGTTATTTTCTCCAGAACTTGTGAAAAATTTCCATAGTTTGCACCTTTCAGAACTTGTGTGTTCCCTCCTGTCATTTTGGTGGTTATCACCTTGCCTTCCTCGTCCTCCTCCCTTTGCTATATGAGATTTTAGCATTATTTAGTTTTTGACCAAATGAGGGGGGGAAACCCTCCTTCTTCATCTTTGTGTTTTAAAGGGAAGAAGGAGGAAGATCCTGATTTTTTCAAAAAGATTCCTCCTGGTGCTCGTTTTTGGCTTTGGGGGATTCCCAGGACCGAAGAAGAAGAGCGGGAAACTATGCTTCGAGGTTGCCGTGGTGGTTGATCTCGGAGAGTGTCCGGGATGTCCAACAGAGAGTTGGGGCATCCTCGGGGTAGAGGCTCGTCACGCTGGGTTAGGGATCGTCATAACGCTAACAGGCTATGTAGCACCGATACGACACGCGACAAGTGACACGACACGACACGACACTCCGACACGTCAATCTTAAAAAATTATGGATTTCGACACGTTGGGACACGTTTTAATATTAAATAATATTTTTAATTTATATAGTGTATATTTCATTTAATATTTAATAATTTAACAAAAAAATGAAACTAAATTAATAATACCCATCAACACGTTATAAAGATGGAAGCTTTAATAAAAAAATAAGAACTGGATGAGAGAGATATAATATCAGATAGAGAGATCAAATCATATTAGAGAGAGATCAGAGACAAGGAGATACAACAAGAACGTGATAGGAATTGACAACAATGATGCTGAGATGATCTCTTATCTACTTAAGGGGAAAAAAGACAAAAAAATAAAATTGATATGATCAGGTGGAAGCTTTATTAATATATTTTAATTTTTTTTATAAAAAATTAAAAAAAAAATTAAAAAAATATTTAAAAAAAATTACGAAAATGTCATTTGACCGTGTCGGACACGGTCAAATTCGCGTGTCGGAATGGTCAACGTGTCGGAAAAAGTTGACCGCGTGTCCGACACCGTGTCGGAACGTGTCACCGTGTCGGAGCGTGTCGGACACGACTCTCCCTGTTTTTACAAGTGTCCGTGCTTCCTTGCTAACATGCATGCTTCACTCCCGTTTCCCCAACCCGGGGTAAGGCCTTCTAGCCATCCTACGAGATCTCTTTCCGACATCCAAGCTTTCCCACATTCTTCCCCTACCCCAGGGAGTGTCCCGTGTTACTCTTGTGTTTATTTGAGTTCGAATCTTGTCAAGCAAGGATGCGACTCTTTGGCCAAGTCTACTTTGGCTACTTGCCGGCATGGAGATATTATGAATTCTATTTCGGGATCTAGAGAAGCAAATGACCCCATTACGATTTCTGATTTGTCGACTTCGTCATCGTCTAGTAACTCATCTGATAGCATTTTTGATTCAGGTATACACATTCTCATCTGATCCAGCTCTTTTCTTGTTTTAGGTATTTATGGCATCTTTCGCTCAAGAAGCTGTAGATGAGTCAGGTTCTGCTGAGTCGTGTTTTGAGTCCCCTCCTGCTTCTCTTGTATCCCAGTTTCCCTGGGTGACCTACGAGGTCTTAAACACCATTTCCGAGATGAGTTCGGATGATGTGGCAGATCTTCCCACTGAGTTGTTAGAAAATTACGATATAGTTTCTCCCCAGGAAGATGAGCCGGTTTGTTCTGGAGGAACAGAAGGGAACCCTTCTTTCTTTTTCTTTTACCGTGATGTTATCAGCCAGCTGGGTATTCGGTTTCCTTTGACCGAGTTTCAAATGGATGTTCTAAATCATCTTCACTTGTCACCCACTCAACTTCATCCCAACGGCTGGGGTTTTGTTAAGGCATTTGAACGTTTTTGTGCTTACCTTGCTCCCCCCTTCTGTCCCCGTCTTTTTTTATTATTTCCAAGTTGTTTCTTGTCGAACTGGTCGTGAACCACCCGAACGAAAAGGTTAGGTTACCATACGTGGCATTCCTGGTCGAAGGCTCTTCCGGGTTTACACTGAGTCTTTTAAGAACTTTAAAGGCCAGTTCTTTAAAGGTTCTGCGTATCCTGGCAAAGGGGTATGGTTTCTCCATAACCGTGGTGCCAAGGATGTGGAGGGAAAGTTTCCTCTGTGTTGGTCATCTGACCATTTTCAATTTCCTCCTTCAAGTTACCGCTTTAACGAGTCGGATTTATATCTGCAATCACGCAAACTTGTTTTCAATTTTCAATTTCCCATACTGACATCAACACTGCCATTGCCATTGGTTCATATCTGCAATCACGCAAAGCTGCTAGTGTCGCCTCTTTGATTTATAAGTCTCAAGAGGAGCTTGATGCAGAATTAAGTATGTTTGCCTTTACATTTGTAGCTTTATGTCACTGCATTTTATGACTGTGGTTTCCGCTTTGTTTTGCAGTTCCCAGTATGGCCGACCAACAACAAGATACACAACAAGGCCAAAAAGATGACCAACCCAGCTGGCTGTCGGTTTTAAACCGGGGTGCTAAGGGGGCGGCTGCCGAGTCTACGGGCAGGAAGAGAAAGGCTCCCGAAGACAAGACCAAGAAAACTACTACCGTTAGCGCCGAGAAGAACAAAGGGGTTCCTGGTGAGAAGGCCAAGGGGAACCCGGAGAAGGGTATCCCGACCTCTACCCAGGTTGTGCTGACTTCCAGTATGCCCCCACCGTCTACCGGCATTTCCAAGCATGCTTTGTGGAAATCCGGGATTACTGGTGGCCTCCGGGATGCTGGAGCTGGGCTGCATGAAGATGTCGACCATGGTTAGGCTGCTGCTCTCTTTGAAGAACGATTATCTTCGCACCCTTAATGATCTGAGCACATATCAGGGTGAAAAAACTAAGGCCCTTGCTGATTTGTCCCTGGTGAAAGAGGAAAAGGACCAGGCAGCTCTGGCATTAGCGAAGGCGAGAGAGAACTTCACCAACCTGCAGCGAGAGCATAACGAACTTCAAGCCATACATGCATTCAATCACAAGTCGCTGAGCGATTTCAAGATTATATATTGAAAAGGATGAAACAGAGTTAAAGGAAGCCAAATCGACTGTTGAAAACTACCGAGTTGAACTTGAGAAATCGGTAGTGGGCTCTTTCAACAATGCTCTAAGTCAGCTGAAGGTTGTCAACCCGGAATTGGCAATTAATACCATTGGCATACATCCCAAAGCATATGTCAGCCAAGGCGCGATCGTTGGTCCTCCCCCCGAATCTCCTCCTTGTGATTCTGTGACTCGGACGGAAGACAGGGAGGAGACTATGGTCGAGGCAGGTGAAGAGGTTGGCACTCATCCTACTACTCCTGTTGCGTGAAGGTACGGGATGCCGGTTACACCTTTGTAATTTGTTGGGGCCCTTGGGCCCCTTTTTGATTCATTCTGAATATTGTCGGTTTTACTCCGGTTTTAAATTTGCTCTTTGAGCCCCTTATTTCCTTCACATATCGTGCTTTATGATTTGACGTTTTGCATTTCTTACTTCCGAATTCACCATAGATGCATTTATCTAGGTATTTGGATTTGCATAACTCGGTATGTTTTCACAGAGCCACGTTCACTTTTGGTAAAAGTTTAGCTCATCTTTGCATTACCTAAGTTTATAACTTAGTCTTTTTGCACGTACGTTAAACCTTGTCCGAGTTTCCCCTCAGTATGATATTCGAGTTACAACTCGGGTTGACTTTACTTTCGCAACCCGGGTTTTTTCGAGTTATGTAATAAACTTTATCCAAGTTGTACCCCATGTTTGTCGGTCGTAATTGTCACTTGGATGCATGTATTTAACCCGTGCATATTACGAGCTTTATACTATTAAGTTATATTCGAGTGTGTTACACCATTCATTGGTGTAATCTTTCAACTCAACTAAATTCATTAAACCCGTGCATTTTATGAGTTCTTATTGTTGACCTGGTCGAGGTCAAAGCATTGTACGGATTCCGCTTTATGTCATTCTCGATGACGCATGTTTGTTTCGACTTACACGTTCTGATAATCCTGTATTAATAATGGATCTCGTCTTTATTGACTCAACCATTTGATTGAATTTGATTTTCATAATTCAATTTAATCTAAGGTAAAAACAATACTTCCATCTGTCCCCTTTGGTATCTTGACCAAAATCGGAAACATTTCGACTTGATCAGAGTCACTATGACAAATTGTATTTGTACCTCGGATTTTGTATTGATGCATCTGAAATAGACAAGGATAAATCTTTATAAAGAAAAATTCCTCATTTATTGATATCAAATTGAGAACACATGAATTTGCCGGCATATTCGGCTTTAATTAAATCCCTAATAGAGGAAAATATAGCTGAAATGTAAATTTCAAAAATCAGAAGGTGGATCCGGGATTTAGCTGTAATATATTTTCAGCTTATCCGTGTTCCATGTTCTCTTGATTCCTTTGCCTTCTATCGTCTCTAGGACGTAAGCTCATTTCCCGAGCTTCTCTTTAACCCGGTACGGGCCTTTCCAGTTGGCAGCTAGCTTTCCATCTCTGGCGTTTTTATTGCCAATATCTGCTCTCCTGAGTACCAAGTCATTTTTCTCGAAGATTCTTGGTATTACTTTTTTATTATACTTGACTGTTGTTTGCTGCTTGGCCATCATATCCCGGCAGTGAGCTGTAACTCTGGCTTAGTCTACAAGATCTAACTCCTCTGTAAGTAGTTTACTATTTTGTTGCTCGCCTTGTTCAAGACTATTCAGCCTTCTCCAAGAGGGTTCTCCAACTTCCACCGGAATCATAGCTTCACATCCATACGTTAGTCGATAAGGGGTTTCTCCTATTGCAGTTTGGGTACTCGTTCTGTAACCCCATAGGACAAAGTATAGCTGTTGAACCCAGCTTTCTTCAGCATCAAACATTCGTTTCTTGAGACCGTTCACAATCACTTTGTTGGCTACTTCGGCTTGCCCATTCGACTGTGGGTGTTCCACAGATGCAAGCGATGTGTGACTTGTAGGTATTTCATTAACTGCTGGAATTTTTTATCAGTGAACTGTGTTCCATTATCAGTGACCACCTCGGCTGGTATTCCAAACCTAGAAACAATGTTCCGTTCAAAGAACCTTTGCACTCTGGCTGAGGTGATTGTGGTGACTGGCTCTGCTTCTATCCATTTTGTGAAGTAGTCCACAACCGCAATTAACCACTTATGTTGCCCCTCAGCAGCTTTGAAGGATCCCAGTAAATCGATTCCCCATTTGAAGAAGGGCCATGGAGCCGAGATTTCTCGCATTTCAGTTCTTCAGGTGGTGAAAGGAATAATTTGGCATGTTTCTGGAAGCTATCACATTTCTTGACGTGTTCTTTAGAGTCTGCCTCCATTGTCGGCCAATAATACCCAGCTCGAAGGGCCTTTCCAGCTAGAGCTTTGCCTCCCATGTGATGACCGTTGATTCCTTCATGTATCTCGGCGAGGACATATTCTGCTCCTTCCGAGTTCAAACATTTCAGCATAGGGATGTGCAAACCCTTTCTAAATAGCTGATCATTCACAATTATGTATTGTGTCGCATCTCGAACCAGCTTTTTGGATTCCAGACGATCTTCTGTAAATATTCCTTTTTCCAGGTAAGCCATTATGGGTTTCCTCCAGTCATTTGCCGAGGTTATCACCATCACGCAGCTCGGCATTGTTATGATTTGTTGTACCATTGTTCTGTGGTTACCCGGATTCTTGGTGCTTGCTAATTTTGACAAGATATCAGCTCGGCTATTCTCCCCTCGAGAGATGTGAGTAACCTGCACCTCATCAAAATCGGCCATCATTTCTTGAACTTTGTTCAAGTATTTCATTAGTATAGGACCTTTGGCCTGATACTTTCCTTCTATCTGCGAAGTCACCAATTGTGAGTCGTTGAAGATTTGTACCTTTCTAGCTCTATATTCTTTAGCCTGCATCAAACCAGCTATCAGAGCTTCATATTCAACTTGATTATTCGAAGTCGGGAATCCCAAGTTTAAGGAGTGTTCAATTGTTACTCCTTCTGGGCTTTCTAGTATGATTCCAGCTCCGCTTCATTTATTGTTGGAGAATCCATCCACGTAGACCTTCCATGACCCCCAGACTCTTCATGTTCCGGGTTCAACGGTGTTAGCTCCATTATGAAGTCGGCCAGAGCTTGTGATTTGATGGCCTTCCGACTTTCATATGTTATGTCGTACTCACTGAGCTCAATTTCCCAATTATTCATTCTTCCTGCCAGGTCCGGCTTGTGCAACACCTGTCGTATAGGCTGATTGGTCCTGACTAATATTTGATGCCCCTGAAAATATGGCTGTAACCTCCTAGCCGTGATCAGCAAAGAAAAAGTCACATTTTCTAGCTTTTGATATCTGACCTCTGCACCTTGTAAGGCCCTACTGACGAAATAAATCGGCTTTTGGCCCTTGTCAGTTTCCTTGATCAGGACAACACTTATTACCTCTTCCCCCACAGCTAGATACATGATTAGATTGTCTCCTGGGTCTGGGTTTGAGAGCACTGGTGGAGTTGCTAA